CTAATGTAATGATGATGTGCCTCGGTGTGTTCCTTCTTGGGTCCAACTTCTTTGGGACTCCCTGAGCTTCCTGGATTTCCTGGAAGTCTATTTCCTTTGCCAGAATGGGGAAGTTCTCTTTTATTAGTTGTTCAAATAAGGTTTCCACTCGTGACTGTTCCTCTTCCCCTTCTGGCACATTGGTACGTTTAAAGATGTCCTGGAGGTTCCTAAGCCTCTCCTCATTTTTTTTTTGAATTTTTGTTTCTTCATTCTTTTCTGTTTGGTCATTTTTTCCTTCCTTCTGGTCTACTCCCTTGATTTGAGTCCCAGTTTCCTGTCCATTACTATTGGTTTCCTGTGCATCACCATTCATTTAAATTAGTTTAGCCTTCATATGTTCCTCTAATTTGTGACTAAAATCAACCAGTTCTGTGAGGATCCTGATCACCAGTGTTTTGAACTGTGCATCTGAAAGTTCGGCTATTTCTTCCTCACTTAGATTTATTGGCTCTGGGGCTCTGAGTTGTTCTTGAGCCAAGATTTTTTCTGTTTGTGCCTGTTACATGTGAGGAGCGGAGCCTTAGTTGTTTACCAGGGTGGGGCCACTCAGGTCGCTGGTTTGTGCTGCTGTATGTGGGGGCCGGGTCAGAGAGGGAGCAATGGCGGTCCTCTCCGCTCACCCAGTCCGTCCCACCACTTGCCCCCGCCTGTTTATCTGAGCGGAATTGTGCAAGACCGCCGCCCTGTGCCGTGAGTTCTCAATGCTCTTCACTGGTTTATCTGCACGCAAATGCTCAACCAACCACAGCCAGCCAGTCACGCCTCTTCCCTGTGTCCGCCCGTAGGTAGCCTGCACCTGGGATCCATGCCTTCGGCTGCTTGCTCACCACCTGGGTGGGGGATCTTTTTGGCCAACCTGCTCTGCTGCTGGCTTCACCCCTCTTACCAGTTTAGCTGAGCATTTCGTTGTTTTCAGACTCTGTATTGTCAATTTTCTGTGTGGTTTGGTTGCATTTATTGTTGTTAAAACTTTGTTGTTTTTAGATTTGGTTGTGCGAGGAAGCAAAGTGTTTCCACCTACGCGTCCATCTTGTCAGAAGTCCTGTTTTTATTGTAAATGACACAATATGCTTATGTACTTAGAACAGTGTTGGGCACATAAGAAGAGCTCAGTAAATGTGAACCATTATACCTCCATCACTGTCACTGTCACTGTCACTGTTCAAGACATTTTTAGACTTGGGTTTAACCAGCCTTGTGCTCTCTACCAGTCACTTGCTGAGTGATTAGGACCATGTCAGTTTCTCTCTAGGCTTGATTGTTTTGTTTTACTTTTTCTTTTTTGTAGATCTGTGAAATCAGAATAATAATGAAACCTATTGCATAGGGTTGCTTTGGGATAAACGTTAAAAACCTTGCAAAGTGCTCAGACCTTAACACATGCTCACTGTGTGATGCCTGTTGTTATGTGATTGTTTTATAAGGTGAAAATTCTAGGTTACAGAATTCAGTATGATGCAACTTGAAAAAAGGGTGTGTTTGTGTGTGCACAGACTAAAGATCTGAAAGGAAACCATAAATATCTGTGGGTGGAGGAATTAACTTAATGTCCTCTTTGCTTATCTGCATAGTATACATTTTCCATAGTGAATAATCTGTTTCTTTGTTTGTTTCGGAAGTGGAAGCATGTTTTGATTGGTGAAGCTCTAAGTGGTCTGGAGTAGAGTTGCCCAGACTGAGGAGTGGGGAGAAGGAAAGATCGGAGTGATGGGAAGAAGCATGTAATAAGAAGATTGTGAATGAAAATTGGTTAAGAACTGGCAGACTGTTCATCTGCTCATTTCTAGAGCCAGGGAACTGCTTCATAATATGTTCAGCATCTCATATTAATAGCTATTGTATATTCCTGTAATCTTCATTCAGTATTGAATCCAAGTTTTCTTTCTTTTCAGAGTTTTCTTCTTTCTGGTTAATTGCTAATTAGTGCCCTATGGGAGTGTTATGATATGAGTGCCCATGTGGTGTCAGTTAGGTGAATTTTGCCAAATTACTGGAAACATGATTTTTCAAAAAGATGATTTCCATCCATGGTTCCTCTTAGACAGACTCCCATCCAAAAATCAAAGCCAAGGGCAACTTCAAAATAAAGAAATAATGATAGTCAGATATTCATTTTTAATAAACAAACATTTGTAATGGTTTGCCCTACTCGAATTGGCTTATAACCATTTAAGAACCACAAATAACATTTTAAAAAATTCTTTCTTTCAGGAAGAAGCTTGATTATCTAAAGAGCTTGATTTATATCTAGGCTATTTTTAAATTATTAGCCATGGGATCTTGGCCAAATTACTTAGCTTCTTATTTTCCTCATTGTAAAAGAGTGATAATTATAGCCTGCCATATAGGGTTGTTGAGAAAAAAAGTGAATGAATAAATGAATACAAAACATTTAACACATTTTCTGGTCCACAGAAGGCTTTCAATAAATATTAGTAATTGCTAATTATATGTGTGAAGTTGGAAAGGCATAGAGAACTTTGACCAGATTCCAATTTCCAAGCTTTGTGTTGCGAAAAGTCAAGAAGTGCCAATTTGGAGGAGAATTAAGTTATATAGATCCTGTATTTGAAATTACTGGGGAGAGAAAATAAAGGTGGCCTTCCTTTCCTCCTCTCACCATGGAAACTAGACCTAGCAAACCCAGAGGCACATTTTCTAGTTTGGCTCCAAGAAAATCATCCTCAATATGGAAGCCCAGGAAACCTGTGGAATTAAACTCATCAGACCAGCAGGCTTGGATGGTCCTTTATATAATTTGAGTACTGTGGGTTTAAGGCAGAAAGTAGGCTGAATTATATATATCTATTATTTTAGAAGTGACAAAAGAGATTTATTCCACCACTGATCACTGGAAGCTGGAAATTTTGCAGCTGTTCAAATATCATATAAAATAAAGTTCATTTTCTTCCATAGATTTCTTTCTCTTAGGAAGCAAAGTGGCCCTGCAGGTGGAGATTCTCTTTTCTTTTCTCTATTCACTTGCATGAAGAAAAGGATGAAATGTTAAAAGACAGTGGCATTGTCCTTGTCCTGGGGTCCAAGTACAGATAGCTTGCTTGTGCATTACTCTGACCACATCTAGCCAGTACAATTCACTGCACCCCAACTTAATTTAACATCCCACCAGTTTAAACAGAGACACCATCTGCTTTCACCACCACAACTGATTAGGGTTGAAGCATGTCAGTTTTATTCCTTCCTCACCCATTCCAAACTATGCAGTGCCTAGACTTCCTTATTTGCTGAGCATGGGCTCCCTTGGTAGAGGCTCAATCTGTTGCCTAATAGATTGAATCCCTTTTGCTTATTGAAACATTTACTTGAGATACTCTTAAACTCAGTCTTGTGAATTTTAAAACTAATCTCATGTCTGATTCAAGACTCCCCGACACCACCAGGCTGGATTCAGCCACTTTGGTGTGGACGAGCACTCTGGCTGTTGCATACCTCCTTTTTTCCTTTTCTGAGCAAGTACCATTTGTTTTAGAATATGGACAAAGTTCAGAGGCACAGGGATCCGAACACAAATGGCCCTCACTGCCCCCAGGGTAACCTCTTTAGCTGCCTCTGATAGCTAACAGAGCTCAGGGGCTGCAGTAGAGGTTCTCAACTCTAAGTGCTTGTCAAAAGGGCTTTCACACCACTTAATGCTTGGGTGTCACCTCCAGAGATTGACATAGTTGGGCTCTCTTGGGACTGTTCATACTTCCAGTAAGCCAAGCTGACAGGAGCTTCCCTTCCTTGCAGGCTGTACCCTGTAGGCCCTGGAGGGGCCCCTGTGAAGCTGATTAACCCCATCCACTAGCTAATCCTCCTGCACACAACCCCCACCATACACATACACTCTCATACACTGCTGCCTGTCTCTGTCTCCTATTGCAGTGATTCCCAGAAAGACTGGATGCCAAACTCATCAATATGCCATGGCCAGCTCAGCTCTGTGAGTACAGGGACCAGTCAGAAAGTTCAGTGACTAAACAGTCATCAAACAGGAGTGAAACACCAGGAACCTTATCTCACACTCGGGCACCGACTTTACAGATAACTCTCTTGAAATCTGACTCATCTGCCTAAGGAACAGCGGGGAGAGAGGAAGCTGCCCCTCTTCCTGAATACTGTATGCCCCCAAAGGGCAACAGACCTTCCTTTATATATTTCTGGGGTGAACAGGGGTTAGGGCTATTTATGTTGCAATGGTACCTGCAGAGAGATGGCTGCTTCCAACAACAGAATGCAGAATATGATTAACTTGTGGCTGTTAGCACAATTAAATGGGAAATCTAAGTGACAATTTTGGCACTATTCCCTACCCTTTAGACACCCTCTGTGTAAATTTTAAATCTTCAGGCAAAATCCATTTCCTTATCTCTATAAAAGGAGTGAAAACTAAAATTATAACTGTAAGGCACTCTGTAAACTTTACAACCTCTGCATATAATGCAGTAGTATGCAAATACTGGTTATAATAACACTTCTCACTTATTAGCATCCTACTTATTTCTGTGTCTGTCTTCTCTGTTTGATTCTACTTTTAAACTCCTCTTGCTGGAGAGGAAGGTCCATGGGGGGGAGACCTTGTCTGTGTTGCTCACTGCAGGTTCACCAGCACCTGACTTAATGTCAAGCACCCAGAGGCAATTAGCAGAAATTTATTGAATTAATATTCTTTGTTGGGGAATGGGGGTGCTGTCCTAAATGAGTCTATAAAATAGGGTTTCCAAAATGTAATCAATGGCCTTCATGAATCAACATTAGATGGCGTCCTCCATAAACGGAGAATCCTGAGGGTCACCTGAGATGCATAAAATCAGAAGCTCCCAGGTAAAGTCAGAGGGGGGCTTGCCCTTTCTAGTTCTAAGTCCCTATAGATGACTGGACCCAGCATAAATGGTGTCTATGGCAATGAAAGACAAAAGCCTTCTTCTTAGTCAAGACAGCCACCCTAAAGCCCGTACCCATGTAAGGCTTGGTGCCGGCCAGGGTGGTGATCCGCGCCTCCCTGGGCAGCACAGCAGCAATGTTGAAGTCTGTGATGTGCACGTGTCCTGGCAGGAGAGAAGAACCACAGGGAACATTAAGTCCAGTCAACCCACTAGCACAGCCATGCTTCTATACCAAGCTCAGTCTGTAAATTCTTCTCCGCTCTGGGTACTAACAGTAAACGCTCAATTATTCTGTCCTCAAGACCACCATATCCTGCCCTGGTAGCTCAGGACAGGTAGCTCAGTTGGTTGGAGGATCATCCTGGTGTGCCAGGGTTTCAGGTTTGATCCCTGGTCAAGGCACATACAAGAACCAACCAATGAATGTGTAAATAGGTGGCACAACAAATGCCTGTCTCCCTCCCTCCTCCTCTCCCCCCTTTTTCTGCTCTCTCTATCTCTAAAAATCAATGCAGAAAAAAGTAAAAATATACAATATGTTCTTCAGCCAGCTAATCCTCCAGCATTCGGAACATAACATGCAAAGATTAGTGTCTGATTAAAAGTCTGTAGTTAAACCTCAGGAAGTGTTAACTGTGGGAGTTAAGAGCTCCTGCTTTTTAATTCTACTCAGGCAATTTTTGTTCACATTTCAAGTCATAACCTGTGAGTATGAACAGGGACCCAAGAGCTATTCAAAATATCAAGTTGCCAATGGTTGTTAATGGATTTTTTTAAAGAAACAAACACTGTTACTATAAAGCAGACATTAAAGTGGATATAGCAGGTCTTTGAATAGTGTTGTTCAAGGTTGTTTTGTTATAATGTTGATGGGAATAATCAGATCCCAGAAGCCACTGTTTGTGTGGAATTTGCATGTTCTCTCCCTGTATGTGCATGTGAGGCGAACTGGTATGTGTACATTGTCCCAGTGTGTGTGTATGTGTGTGGCCCTGTGATGGAGGGGAGTCCTGTCCAGGGTTGGTTACCACCTTTGCCAGAACTGCCAGGACAAGCTCTGGCAACGCAGAACCCTGAGGTGGAATAAGTGGGCTGGAAAATCACTCTGTCACTTATTTTTATTCATCTTTCTTAAATGTATGTATAGCTCACACTTACTCCAATGTTTAATATTAGAAGTGTTTTAGGACTTTATTTAGAAGTTTGGTGATGTTTTTGTGACCAGAAACATGCCATAGGAACTTCACTTTTGTTTATCTCTACTAGCCTATGGTCAAGGTTGGTTTTGTTATAGTATGCCATTTTGCTTAGAAGCCAGTTTTCAAGAACTCATTGAGGACATTGAGCACTTACAAAAAATCTATTTCTTTTTACCAGGAAAGAGTACTTGTTTTATCCTTGTTTTTCTGAAATAACATCAGTAGATTTGTCTGTTAAGTTGGTTGTTCCCTAATGATTCCTGACAAAATAACTCACCAAGGAAAGCTGGGGTAAAATCAAGTTTTGCTTATAAAGAGAGTATATAACATGCTCTAGACTGGGAGCCAGGAGACCTGAGTCCTACCCTGAACTCTGTCCCTAACACAATGCAGGCTTTACTCCCATTTCTGTGTTGAACCTAAGCTCCCCTCCATACAAGAAAGGACTGGGTGGACCATGTGATGCCTCAGGCCTCACTCAGCTCTCACACTCAGGGCATTCCAGTGTGGGTCTCATCACTTAGCTGCAGCGGGGAGCACATGCCTGCACAGTGTGTTAGGGCAGCCACATTGAAGCATAAAGGAAGGAAGGCGCTGCTCCAGGAGCTCAGGCAGACATGCTCACTGTGGTAGCTGCTGGCACAAGAGTCACGTGCTTTCGGAGGATGCTGGAGTGTTGGTATTTCCTTGCTTCTGTGGTTGAGAGGAGCTATGGTTGTAATTGGAGGTGGTGTCATTTGATTGTTCCCTGAAGAGACTTTAGTACCATCTCTACTGGCATCCAGCCTGCAGCTAAAGATAAATCACACTGCCTTTACTGCCAGGGTTAGTTTTGTGGCCAAAGTGTTTGTGTTTGACTGTATGAAAATATAAGTCAGTGGTTTTAATACAGTCAAAGGTTTTCTTGCTTGAATGGTACCTATGAGTGATTTCCATAACTTATCCTATTATAGCACAGGTGGTCTCAGTTTTTTCTTTCTCTCTTTTCCTCCATGAGTCTTGCTCAAAGCACTGGGTCACTGGTTCACAAGGTTCAGGATGAATTGGGTGAGCCAGGAGATGCTGCACGTAAGAGCCTGTTCTCTGAGGTCAGACTATTTGGCCTCAGGTCCAGGTTCTATTGCTGATAGGCTGTGCCACCTTAAAAATGTAGCTTATCTCTCTGCAAAGCTGGGAGAAGGATAAAACTCTTCTCATTAGATTTTGGGAATATCAAAGAAAACAATGATTGTGGAAGACAGCTCAGCCTTTGGCAGGAAGTAAGGGTTCAATTGTTGCTATTTGTCATGATCAGAAACTCCAGGGTTACTGAAGGTACAGTATGTGTGTGTGTGTGTGTGTGTGTGTGTGTGTGTGTGTGTTTGAACATGATGCCCACTTGGTTTTAGGCACATTTTGGGGCTCTGCAAGGGAAGAACAGTTATGACAGAAAGTGTAGGCCTTTTTCATACCTCCAGACCAAGTTTTTGCCTTTCTCTGCTCCCTGTAACTAGGAATGATATTAGGAAACCTAAATTATAGATGTTACCATAATTGTCATTTTGATAGATATAGCAGGCAGACAGTGCTGTTCCTCTGGATACAGCATTTATTTTCTGAATAATTTAGAAAAGACACAAGAATTTTAGACACTATGGAATTGATAGAATTGGGTGGGCTACTTAAATGGGTAGGATATGAAAATATGCATCAGAACAACTGGTATTGTGCCACCCAAGATCTAATGCCTTCTTGGGCTCTGAGCTAGTGAGGCATTTCAGGAGCAGAGTAGCAGGTGTGCTCTACATTAAAAAGCAATTTTTAAGTCAAATTCTGATGTACAAAGAAAGTTTATTCACACCATGGAAAGGTTATCCATTTTATGAAAGGATTTGGTTCTTTTAAGTTTTAATCTTCTCTGGTGAACGTGAACCTGTGTGAATCAGGAGGCATGAGACAAAGTTTCTGCCTGTTGCCGAATGGTGCTAAATGAAACGTGAACAATGCGGTATCATACACAGCGCACTTAGCAGAATGGGTATAGGAGGCAGATCAGTAGCAGCCAATTACCCTTCACTGTTGCTAGGCATCCCCAGGTAAGAGGTGCGTGTGATGGCCCATCAGGGGTAAAATAGTGTAAATGTTCAGAGAGAGGACAAACAGGGGTTTCAAATAGAGAACACGAACAATCACACCTGAAGACCCAAAGGCAGGCAGAGCAACTCTATATAATGAGCCCACGGTAGAGGTTACTGGGAATTTATTCAGTGAAAAGTGGTTAATTATGGTCCATGAGTGATGCCTGAAAGGCTTAGTTTTTCAGAATATGAATAAACAAAAAGTAAATAACCTCAAAAATTGCTTTCCCCAGAAAGGGACCTCAAGACAATGTTTAGAGAAGAGCTCTCAATCTTTTTGTTCGTTTGTTTGCTTTTATTCCATCCACATATCCAATCCTTCCCAAGGTAATGTTTCTCTTACTGAGTGATTCTCAACTTGAGTGCAGTATGGGAACATACTTCAGAAAAGCCCCATATTAATCCATTCTCCAGACCAAAACACTTGAGAGAGAAAAGGGGTCATTGTATTTAGTACACCAGACAACAGGTATACTTGGGACTGTTCCCCAGGCTGACTGGCATGGCTATTCACAGTCCCTAAGCAACTGAGCTCCAGCCCTGCCAAAAACAAAATGCCCTGAAAAGTGGATTTAAAAGCAGAATGGACCATGCACAGTGTAGTTACCTGAGAATTAGGGTTCAAGAAAACTGTTTAAATACAAGAGCTAACAGACACATGGAATCTTTGGAATCTAAATGAGTATCCAGCATTCACTATCTAACACAGAGGCATAGCAACAGAAACCAAGATGAAGTAGTCTAACTTTCCTTCTCTAGGGAAGAAGGCCCCTACTAACTCATAAAATCATACTAATATCTAATTTTTATTGAGTGATCTCCTTCTGGCAAATATTGCAACCAAGCACTTTATAAATAGTATATCAGTTCATTTTTACAATGAGTTCTAAGAAATAAATATTCTTCTGATCCCTGGAGAAACTAAGGTAGTAGGGAAAGTTTAGGCAACTTGTTGATACTCTCAGAGCTAATGAGTGGGTGAATTGTGTTTTTTTTTTAATTTTATAAAATTTAATGGGGTAACATTGGTTAATAAAATTATATAGGTTTCAAGTGTACAGTGCTGTAATACATCATCCATGTATTGTGTGTTTACCATCCAAAGTCAAGTCTTCCATCACCATTTTTCCCCCTTTATCCTTTTTACCTCCCCCTCCCAGCTTTCCCTCTAGTAATCACCATAACATTGTCTGTGTCTATGAGTTTTTGTGTATTTTTTGGTCTGTGGTTTTTTCATTTGTTGCTTTTAGTTTTATATACCAGATATGAGTGAAATCAAATGGTTCTAGACTTTTTCCATCTGACTTATTTTGCTTAGCATGATATTCTCTAGATCAATCCATAATGGCACAAATGACATTATTTCACCTTTTTTATGGCTGAGTGGTATTCAATTGTATACACGTATCACATGCTCTTTGGTTTTGAGCTCAGGCAATCTGGCTCCAGAATCCAAGCTCTTAACTATAATACTACACAGTTAATCTTTCACAAGGGCAGTCTCTAAGAATGGTCAAACTTGCAGATAAACTTATTCCTGGACCATTCTCCTAATCTACAACCATCCAGTGGGCAAGACCATAAGGAGGTAAAAGAAGGTGCACGAGAGAGGTCAGAGATAGTAAATGGAAGAACTGGCCATTCTGTCCTCATTGTAAAATCAGGATAAAAACATGTTTGAGATCTAAGATTAAAACACTGGTTTCTGAAATGGAAGGTAAATCTTGAACAGGTTTTGGTTGGCAGGACCTACATGTTTCCATTCAGGGCCTCAATGAATGGTAGAGCAATATATGGTAAACAATGGCAACCGGGCCAGGGGCAGCAGAAGACCAGCCAGGGTTCTGCTTGACGTGCCAGCCACATACCTTCGTGAGACTGTGGTGGGCAAATGGAGCACCTTTTTCTGAGTTGTGCACAGGTGGCCTCTGTAGGCTAGGGGAGGCCCAATACACAACGGTGGAGCTCTATAGAGTTTATATGCACCAGGGTGAGAGAGGATCCTGCTTTCTCTTTAAGGCAGAGCAGACTGGTGTGTTAAGGAAAGTCACCTTCATGCTAAGTCCCACCAGTGCCCACATTTCTGAAATTCAGAGAATCTGTGCCCAAATGTCAGAAGCAGTAAAGGGAAAAAAGAAAGAAGGCATTGAAAGAGAGTGAGAAAAAACATTTTTAGACAGTCTGTAAATAAATAACGACCCTGAGCTTTTAAATTTGAGGTCAAAGTGTTTCTTAGCCCTCTGAGCACAGGTGGAATCTGGTAAATCACATTTAAAATGCAACTGAGTAAATAAATCATATGCAATGGGTGGTCCTTGGAGTTTCAGTCCCACTTGCAAATCGCTTCTGTTGAAGTCAAATGAGTAAGGAGCTTTGCAGATTTACAACTCACCTAGCAGCTTTGTGAGAAGAATGAGGATCTTATTGCCACTGTAACATTTCTAACTTGCAGGGTGTGTGTGCTACAGGTCTACTCTGGCAGACCAATAAATCCAAGTGTACGTTCAAAGAAATGTTAAGAGATTAGACACATTTAATCATTGTAGCAAAAACCTGTTCTGTGGGATATCTTTAATCAGTGTTTCTTGAACTGCAGGCATTCATTGTTTCTCTGCATGGTTCTTCCCATATTCCCTTATTGTGATCCTATCTGAGTTCACATATATTGTCAACTACTTTATACTTTTCTTTACACTGATCTGTTTAATCCTCACCCAAGGATATTTATTGATTTTAGAGGGAAAGGAGGGAAGAAAGAAAAACATTGAACAGTTTCTTCCTGAATGCGCCCCAACCAGGGATTGAACCCTCAACCTAGGTATGTGCCTTGACAGGGAATCGAACCCACAAACTTTTGGTGTATGGGATGATGCTGCAACCAACTGAGCTACCCAGCCAGGGCATAAATTGGCTGATTTTTTAAAAGATCTTTGAACAGAGATCTTTGAACAGAGAACTTGCTATCTCCTCTGCAAATGTAAACCCAACTTACCCTTCTAAGAAAGAAAGTGTAAAAGGAGATGCAATGCCAACAAAACAGTGTCCCTAATATCTAGGGAGACACCACTGCCTGCCAAATGCTCCAAGATTGAGGCCTGTTCTGTCTTTATGAAAAAAAGGAGATGACAGTTATAAATATATTAAGGCAAAGCAGCACCAAAAAGCTGAGATGGTTTTCCTGAAGAAATCAGTAGGGATGGAACGACATTTGAAAGAGAACAACTTTCTCATTACGTAAATTCAATGTTATGTTTAAGGGTGTGCTGGTGTTCTACGCCCCTGCTGTAAATACTGACATCTCCCCCAACTGCCCCTCCCACTTATAAAATGAATTCTGTACATATAACACAAGTCACTCAAGCAAGACACCTTCTCTTTGTGTAATGCTTCTTCACTGGGGATCATTTTTGTCCCATATGCAAGTCCTGCGGGTTACAAACAAATCATTTACTCACCATGTTCATCAAGCAAAATGTTGTCAGGCTTCATATCCCTAGGGGTATAAAAAGAGAAAATTGCCCATGATAAAACAAACAAACAGCCAAAGTAGAAAATGCTCAAGAATGCTAAGTAGAGTTAAACCATGTACTGGCCCTTCATCGCTCAAAATTTTATTCAGTTTTCACAGTGAATCTAAGAGATGATTACCATGAATACCCCGATTTCCAGATCAGAAAACTGAGGCTTAAAGGAGTTCAGTGACAGCCCAAGGTCAGGGGTGGTAGATGGAAGAACTGGGCTCCAAACCTGAGTCTCTCTCATTCAAAAGCTCAAACTCTTAATCTCTATAACATATAATATCTAAGCATATAAACATTGCTCCACAGGTCACATGGGGCATGTCAATCGCCATAAAGTGGGAGTACTAATTATCATTGTTTTCATCTGTGTAAATCTGGAATGAAAGTAAAGACTACAAAAACAGGTTTATAACATGATTTTATTTTAAACGTACATAGATTAGAGTCCTTTTTAGGATGATGTTATAATTTTCTAGTTGCTTCATACACATTCCTGGGATGGTTAATTAAGATTTGAACCAGTCGTCTATGCTTTGTGGAGATCCTTAAATTTATACATGGGGAGAAAAGCATAGTTTCATGATAAATACTTAGATATAAGGCCTATAGAGTTTTCAAAATTCTCCTGAAGCAAATATTGTAAGCAGGGCTCCTCAATCAGAGAACAGCATTGCCATTCTAACAGCCCTCATCCTCCACCCTCAGGTTTTCCTGCCCTTCCCTAATGTGCAGTTAAAGCCCTTCAACCTAAATTCACAAAAGCCATTAAGAAAGAAATTCTGAAATAGGTTTTGGGAACACACATTCAGCCTCATCAAGTGGCTTTTATGTTGCTTGAATAAGATGACCTTGGTCTTTGACAGACAGAGATTGTCAGGGTCCTCTGTTCATGAAAATATTAATGAATAGCAAGCCCTGACCTACAAAGAGAACCAAATTCATGCCACCCCCAACATGCAGGCTCATGAACTTTGAATATCTTCTCATTTGGTTTGTTAGAGACTTAAAATTAATTCTGGATTCCTAAGTGGTCCTCTGTAGCTGTGGCATTTTTATTCTCTGGCGCAGGGGACAATTTGCTAACAATGTAGAGTATGGGGAAGGGTTTTAACTGCATAGTTCTATGGCCTCTCTCTCTTTCTCTCTCTCTCAATATTGAAGATTCTACACCAAACCCCTTGAAGGATCCTGTTATTTTAGGTATTATCAAGTTCAAACTCACTCATATGGAATAAAGGCCCTTTTATAATATGGCTCCTGTCCTCCAGCCACATGGAGCCACACGGAGTCCCCAAGATGCTCCCTGCATCTGCCCACTTTCTTCTGTTCCGTCAACAGAATCAGAGGCCCCCTCACCACTACACTCAGACAATGCAGATTCATCCCTCACCCCATAGCTCAGATGCTGCTTCCTGCAGGAAGCTCTCCTGATTTTCTCATTCTGAGTCAATGACCTCTTCTATGTGCTCTGCGGAGCATGCTTTTCCCACCATAACATTTATCATTTGTATTTACTTTTTTTTCCACAACTGGATTATGAACTCCTTGATGTCAGGGGTGGTTTCTAGATCACAGTCATACTCCATCACATAAGCCCAGAGAGGCTGATGGGCAGTAAATGCATGACTCAGGGGTACTATGTAAGGCCTAGTGCACTCAAGGTTGGTCTTAACAGTAACTATCAGAACACTCTGGGGCACCACCAAACACTCTACAGTTGAAAGCTTGAGGATCCTACCGCCTCTTTCAGACCTGCACACAGTGAGCATCCATTAGCCTTTGCCAGGTGAGAAGGAGGCCCAAGCAGCCCTGCCAGGAAGAAAGAGACCTGGGTCACTCTAGCCAGGTCAGCACACAGAGTCTGTGGCCTGAGTGTATGACAGCTTGCTGGAGAAAATGGATAGCTCTGTGTTTGACACCTTATAAGCTTCTATAAATCTCTCAGCATCACTTTTACTATTTATTAAAGCTACATATCATTCTACTTACTCCTTCCCCCAGAAACTAATGATAATGCTTAAAGAAGAACACAGAGATCAGAGAACTAACAATTGGTTTAATGTGGCACCTTGAACGTCAATCTCATATTCACTTATTCATAAAATATTTATTTATTTTTGTAAGTCACTATCCTAGGGCTTAAGAAATATAGAGACAACTGAGATATAGTTCCTTCAGGGATGGAAAGAATACAAAAGATTCATAAGGAACCATGCCAAAAAGGCTTGAAGTGGTGAAAATGTATTTTTACTACTAAATTCAGAGGAAGAAAATGAGGAAAATCTAAGAAAGTTATAAAAGAAAAAGTGGACTTTTAACATAAAAATAAAGTATATAAGCATAGATTCTAAGTATATAGCTTTTCCAAAATGTTGATGAGGTAACTTCCAAGTCACTGCAGGGTGAACCGCAGAATGATAGCATCGTTTATTCATTTACCAGGAGAGAGAACATGAAAATAAGCCCAGTGTACTACATAAAAATTCCTGCTAGAGCAAACTGAGATTTTTGTAGTTGTGAAATTTAGTACCACTTTCTTACCTTTTCAAATAAATCCTAAATATGAATAACTGTTGCTAAAATGTTTCTCCCTATAAGGCAATTTGTAATATGGATTCATTTAAAGTGATCTATAATATGATTTGACTCAGTGGTTATTGAACCTGGATATGTTAAGAATCACCAGGCAGGCTTTAAAAATCGCAGACTCTGTGACCTGCCTCGCTCAGTCCTGTGATAATTAGACTATCTGTCCAAACACAGCCTCTTCTAAGAACGTCTTATGCACAGTCAGGTTCAGAAATACCATCCAAGCATGGTTTAAATCCAAAAATATTAATCTGATTTTCAAATATGGACAAATTCTTTACATTCTGGACAAATTCTTTGGTCAAAATATACATGGAGGTATACAGCTCATGAGTTCCCTCTCATTGTTATTTATCATTTTCAGTGATGACAATGTCTGTGCAGACATTCCATCTAATATCTTAACCTCTCACTTCCCCAGTTTTCCTCCAATAATCTTTTCACCTCTCCTACCCAGCTGTTCCTTCATCCTCATTTCCTTCATCATACCTTTGTCATTACCCCAGCCTACCAGCTGACTAGCATGACTCTCTATCCAATACAATTCCCAAACTGTCATGTCTAACATACTGAGATCATCAGGTTCTCAGACAAAGAACATCTTTTCTGTGGTGTTCAATGCTATAGGTCCCAGGATCCTCAAAGTGTCCAGAACAAAGGAAGCACTTAAGTAAACATTTGTCATAAAAATGAGTGAATCTGGTTCCTTGGTTCTCACACTTCTGGAATAATAAGCCAAGTGTTCTTTTTCCCTAAAGATAAGAAAAAAACAAAAAACCAAAGAACAACATCCCCTGGCCCCCAAAAACATAAACCACTCTATGTATACCAGATGCACTGTATTTAGTATTGACCAACTAAAATATCAATCACTTTAGTAAGTGGATGAATGTATGTCAGAGTAGGAGTGATAAAGAAGTGATTTCTGCAGTCTGAGCCCACAATTTCAGAGGACAGGCTATCAAATTTGGGGGAGGGAGCAGTAACATACAATTCTAGGCTCACACTCGTTGTAGAAACAGAGAAGGCCGTGTCCTGTTGAGTCAGCAGATTCCCACACTGGGAACCAGAAACAGTGTGGAAATGCAATGCTCCTGCAGCTCAGTCCAAAGCGGAACTGATACGCCCCTGGTCTCACTTGAATGACTTTCCAGCATATTAGCAGCACTTAATAGGCTAATTACATCCCTTCGCTGGGCCTGCCTTGGGATCAAGTCACTAGCCCAGCAATCTGATATGGGGTGTTGTGAGAACAGGGAACAGGAAAATCAGTGTATCCAAACCCAAACCCACTCCATTGGTGTCCCATGGCTTTCTGACAGGGCCATAGTTCGGGTTTAACTCTGTGTCATGTATTGTTCTCCTAGGATGGGTCCTCTGCAAGTTCTTGAGAGGAGAAAAGATATCATACATGTAATTCTATAGTATATTGTTTAGGGTGTCACATAAAGGCCATTGGTCACATAAACAGGTCTATGGTAAGAAAAGAGTTGGGTGGGGTGGGAGATTGTGAGTGGGAAATTGTAAGCAAACCCACATGGTTTGGTATAGGAGGTAGAGGTATAAACTGCCAGGATTGGATTATTACCTTCTGGGTCTCCTCTTCCACCTCTTTCTTACCAAGTGGATGCTTCTTTATTGTTTTAATTGGTTCAAATTGGTCTGCAACTCATTTAATTTTCTTTTTCATAGTTTCTGTTGCATATTTGAAACTCATGTAGATTTTGCACCCTACTCTATAATATATGCATGTCTTTTAGCATAAAACTCCCCAATCCCTGGCTGTGGAGTAGATCTGTTGCCCTAGGAAAGTGAAGCACACACATCCAGCAGAACAGCAGCACAGAAACTGTGGTTTGAGAAGCAGGATTCCAGACCATGACCTGTAACCTGAGATTGCTAACCTTCCTGCAGTCTCTGAATGTGATAGGGGACTCAAGACTTGGAAAATTTTAGCTTAGGGTAAAAAACTACATCTAGCAACTAACAAGTGTTAAAGCTTTTGTTTCAAAAACTACAGATAAAGCCCATCTTGGCTCCTGGGAAAAACAGAGGACTTCCTGGGGGACTGGCTAGAGATTACCACCTGGGGACAAATTGGAGGCATCTGGGCCTTTCAGAAGATGACCACCCCCCTCCTTTGGGAAAGCTAACTGGAAGACAGGAGTGTTGCAGCTTCTGAAGCTCAAAGCCCTCACTGCACATTGTTTGTCCTCCCCCACCTCCCTTATAAAAGATCCAGCCAGGAAAGAGAGGGGAAGATGGTTTGTGAGGGTATAAATCCACCATCTTTTCAGATCACTGGCCATCTGAATAACACGCCCATAAAAGATTCAATCACTGTCATTGCTTATTGGGTTTGGTAGTGACAGGCAGCTGGAAC